CTGCGAGAATTGGGTTTGGAGGCCAGTCAATTGAACGAGTGAGTCGATTAGGTGGACTGGAAGTAGAGACGGTGGGGTGAGGATTGGTACTTTCCTTTCCACAGTCTCTGGCGATAACAGTTGAAGTGCATTTACTGCATCTCAATCGTTTACCTGCCAGTGACTCCATTTCAGAGGAACGTTTAATTATTTGCACACCTTCTGAAGCCGGAAGCTTCTCTATGGCGATGGAATAGAAGGGTTTGGAGCCTCGCAGTTATTGTCTGGTCTGATGTTCAAGTCGTGAATCGCATTGAGGTGTGGAGAGTTAAACACTGTGCCCATTGCTACTCACTACTACATCATCAACTAAGACACTGATGTTGATGCCAACGGATTCCTTGTAAATCACCAGACAGGGAAGCCGCTGATTCACTCGTATGATACTATGAACGTCCTCATTTGCTCTTGGCGGTGACAGTGCATCTTTTCTTCTTCCTCCTTTAAGTCCGTGATTATTGAGGTAAAGTAAGCAAGAGTTGGACGGTGGGAGAAGAACAATGGGTTTTATTAGAGCCCATTGGATGGATGGCTCAGAAGGGTTGGCGAATGGGAGATGAGCAATTCATCCAGTAGGTGGACCCCTAACTATTTGGTAAGTGAATGGTGGGCAAGACAAGTAGGCCGAGACGAATAGACAAGGCAATTTGATGCGTACAATTCCCAGAAAGGGTGGAGTAGACATTGCCAACAAGATGACTGGAAGGAATACTGCATGAGGGGAGAATCAAACCAACGGGTGGAAATGGCTTTACAGGTGATAGGAAATTTCGTTGAAAGCTGCTTACACTCCCATTTTAATGCAAGATCCAATCAAGAGGCAAGCATTCGTCGAGCCTACTACCAATTGTCAATGAAGTATCATCCGGACAAGAATCCAAACGGTCAGGCGAAATTTCAGGCTATCAAGGCAGCCTACAACTTCCTCTGTGAGCGTGGACTTCATTCCGATGGACCAAATCGTCGACACATTCAGCTTCTCATTCGAGCTCAAAGCATCCTCTACTCACGATATCGAAAAGGTTAGCACTGACTGGTTTAACAGTTGTTGAATTCGTTAAATTGATGGTTTTTTTTGTTAATTAACTGAGCTATTCAATCGCGTGTTTGACATTCTAGTGGTCTATTGTCAGTCTTTGCCAAGGCGTTCGAGAATTTGATAGTTTGATCGGTTGGTTGCTGGTTTGTTCGGTCGAGTGAATCGTCTTTTAGCCCACCAGTTGTCCAACTGCCAACCGT